TATACTAAGCTTGTGCTAGTATGAGGAAATGTTTATATTATTATAGTATATTAGAAAATGCCTTGCACTGATTATTACAGTGTTTTATTGTGATATTAGTTATAGGTTTTGATTTACCTTTACTGTAATTAGTTAGGGATATACACTAAATAAAATTTCTATTACTACGGCTGCATTCACACACATACACACTTCTAGCCATCCATATTTTGGTAATGCTTGAACAGGTCCTAGAAGTCTTTTTCTACTTACGTAATGCGCTCAGGTCCATGAAACATAATCAGTTTGCATCTCTGCTGGAGAATAAAGTGACCTTAAGTGATAATCTCTACTACTTATTTCTACCTCTTGACTTTGATACGCTTCTGTCTTGCACACACATTTTCTATTCCAGTCTTTCATGCTAAGCAAGTAGGCTAAAAATTAGAATGAAGTAAGCTGTTAACAACTACAATCCAAAGGTATATCAAAGCACCTTTCCCAAATATGTAAAACTTTAATCTAGGAGCTGTACTACTTTTGCTCTGGTCTGAATGATACAGTATGTTCATTATTTTCCAGCTGAGGAGTAATATCCAGGGAAATTTGAAATGTGGTTTATACATTCAGGCCACTCCAAAACATGTTGAAGATTTGAGAGACTGCCCAGTTTTCCAGAGAGATCTGCTTTCTCTGGCCTGTGACTTTGAATGCCAAGTTTCAGCCAAGAGCACATTTTTTATAGTCCAGTAATAAACCACTGAAAATAGTGTTTATAAGAGAAATGCTGATGCAATCTTAATACATCTAACGTAAGAATGGCAATATAAAAGTATTATAACCAGTGTTTGCTGTCATTTGGATTTCTCCAGTTCATATTCTGGAAATTAGCTGTTATTCTAAATGTTGGAAAATGGATCATCCCATTATTTTTTACATCTTAATGTCTAGTAAACTGATTAGTTTCTTTTTATAATAGTTGCCATCTAAAAGCAGCTGTATTAACAAAATAGAAGTGATCCTGTCCCCATAAAATCATTCCACAAGAACATACCTTGAAGGAATTATTAAAGGTCTTTTATCTGTAAGTTTTCCCCATCTGGGAGACTGCTTTGAATGATAAGAAACCATTTTCAGATATCTATGCTTTTGATTCATTCGATCCACTTATCAGGAGAGTCTAAAGTACTTTGAATACTTTGTATAGCATTATACAGTGTTCTCTACTTGGCAGCCTTAGAACTAGTTATTCTAAACAATGTCTCTGGATACTTCTGCATCATCTCATTATTGTTCTTCTTCATTTTCACTGTGTTTCTTCCTCCCATTCTTCAACCACAGAAAGTCAATCTTTTTTTTTTTTTTTTTTATGAGACAGAAGGAACATTCCACCATATATGGTAGACATATGAAAAAACAACAACAAAAGTATTGGAAAGATATACACAGCATCATTCATAAAATTTTGGTGATTAAATTCAAAATGAAACCACTTTTTTTTTACTAGTTCTAATAAACTATACTATAATTGTAGTTCATATTAATTAAAAAAAATACCATAATTTATTAAGATACATGCTGACATCCGTGAGGACAGACTTTGCACAACAGTGGAAAAAGTACATAGCTCCAACAACATCTGATTAGGAACTTAAACTTGCAGCAATTGCAAAAACTAACTAACTGACTATATAGCAGTTTAATTAAATTTAAGCAATAATGGCTTCCATATATATTATGCAGCAAGTAAATACAAACACAGAGCATGGTTTCTAAAATTTATGCCAATAGGTACTGCAAATCAGTTGGAGTACAAAGAAGGGAGAAATCAGAAACTAAATATTTACCTATACAATATTATATTTAGGGGTATTTTTCTTTTTTTTAACATTTATAAATAATAATATAGTGGAGGTTAAGCTAAAAAATTTATACTTCTTTTTTATGTCATGAAAACAACTCCGTGCACTCTGCTTGGTATCTTTCACTAATGTTATATTGAGCTTTAATTGTATACCTTCAATTAAATATACCTTTGTTTTAAATTTTTTAAAAAAGGGGAAAAAAAGAAAGTAATTTTTTCATTAAAATTGAAGTTGTCTATTCAAAACAGATTAATAATTATCTATCTATCTATCTATCTATCTATCTATCTATCTATCTATCGCCTTCAAATCAGCCTTGACTCCTGGTGACTTCCTAGACCTTCCTGGAATTTCTTGGCAAGATTTCAAAAGTGGTTTGCCATTGCCTGATTCCTAGGGCTAAGGTCACCCAGCTGGCTTTATGCCTAAGGCAGGACTAGCACTCACAGTTTCCCAATTTCTAACCTGATGACTTAAACCACTACACCAAATTGGCAACAACAACAACAACAACAACAACAATAATAAGGTGGATAAAATTGCCAAATCCAGTCTAAACATCTGGCTGACTGTGCAACCAACAATAATAAAAACAGTTAAACACACATAAACATGGAGCCCAGACTAAAACAACTGAAAAAATAAACCATACCACAGGGCCTCCACAAATACATCAATAAATACATTAACCCCAGGCCTGGGAATACAACCAGCTTTTAAGAGCTTTCTGGAAGTTCAGCTGAGTGGTTGCCATTCATATCTCTGGGGGGATGCTGTTCCAGAGGCCAGCGGCAGCAGCAGAGAAGGCACTGTTCCTCAGTGATCCAGATGGCAACATTTCATAGAGGGGACCTGGAGCATACCCACTCCGGGCAAACATACCAGGCAGGAGAGAGAATTGGAGATAGGCAGTCTCCCAGATAACCAGACCCTAAGCTATAAGGGCTTTAAAGATGATGACCAGCACCTTGAATTGCACCCAGAATGCAGCTTGTGGAGCAGAGGTGACACTTGAGCATACTAAGAAGTGCCCATTACTGTTTGCACCACTGCATTTGTACCACTGTAGCTTCTGGATGGTCTTCAAAGGCAGCCCCATGTACAGCACATTGCAATAGTCCAATGGTGAGGTGACCAGGGTGTGAGTGACCACCTGAAGGGCCTCCCCGTTGAGGAGAGGTTGCAACTGATGCACAAGATGAACCTGTGCAAAGGCCCTCCTGTCCACAGCTGTCGCCTGCTCTTGCCAGTTCAGGAGGAACCTCAAGTTGTACACTAGCCCTGAATGGGAAAGTGTAATATTGTTTGAGTAGCCCATTTTTCTTAAAGAATAGAATTTTGCACGAACAACAATGTAGTAGAAAAGTAAACTAATCACAATCACACACATGTATTAGTCCTTGGGTTTTGTATTTATTTATTTAATAATTTTTTATAACCACCCATGTGATATACATGACTCTGGGCAGATAATAATTAAAATAAAACCAGATTAAAAATACAACCAATAATGAAAAACATAAATAACATAAAACAGCAGCTGAGAACAATCACAATATCCCACAATTAATATAATCAGGAACCGGGCTCACCCACCTTATCAGGGCCCTTGGCTTCATGGCAGAACCAAATTTTTAATGCCTTGTGAAAGGCCAGCAGGGTCAGGGCAAGTCTGATCTCAGGGGGCGGGTGGAGGATGATGTTCGAAATGGCAGGCACTATGGTAGAAAAGGCCCTCCTCCTCCTCCTTGGTCCACCAGATGGCACTGTCCTGCGGATAGGACCCAGGGCATGCCTCTCCTGCCAGATCTAACAGGATGGGTAGATACCACTGGAGAGACACAGTCCCATAAGTAACCTAGGCCCAAGCCATGAAGGTCTTTAAAGGTGACCACCAGCACCTTGAATTGTACCTGGGAGCATACTGATAACCAATGCAGCATACCAGTAACCAGTGCAGTAGTCTCATATACTGAATGACTGGCACCCATAACTGCCTGCGCCATCACATGTTGCACCAGCTGAAGCTTCTGAATACTGTGTATTGTCGAAGGCTTTCACAGCCGCCATACGATGGCTGGTGTGGGTCTTCCGGGCTGGGTGGCCATGTTCTTGAAGTTTTGTTTC